GTGATTAAAAACATTGGAATTCATGTTAATAACCAATATATCTAAAATATTACTTCAAAATATAATTAATATAAGCATTATTGAAGTGTTTTGTTGGGTTGATACCAAATGTTTCAAAGGCAGTATGACTTTACCCTGATCAGTCAGTCAGACCAGCCACAGGCTAGCCTTTTCCTCATGCACCCCCTGCCTGCTGTGTCAGGCGCCCAGTGCTGGACTGCCAGTACACCATCCCAGCCAGCGTGAGACTGTGCTCTTCTCTGGGTGCTGTAACGCAAAGGCATTTCACCCCAGAAACAATCCTTACATTCGGGACAATCCTATATGACGAAGGCTACAGTAATGGCAAGGCTCTCTCTCACTATAAAAGCATTCTGCTGGCTTACGTTGTGCTCAGGGGAGAGCCATTTCATTTTGTAGTGCTCCCATTTTTATCTTGTGACTTCCAGAGTCATCAAAAGGACAAGAAGACGTGGAGCATTAATGCAGGGGCTTCTCCCTGCACTGTGCTGCCTGTCACTCAGCCACATGGCTGCAATACAGAAGCATGCTGTCCTTTTTTGGTCCACGGCTGCAAGAGGAAGCAGATAAGATGACAGTGTAGCATTGACTTTGCCATAAGTCAAGTTTTTATTTATGTTTCTAAGGAAGTGAGTAAATGCATTCTAATCTATGTGGGGGAAAAAGATCGCTCCAGTCATACCAAGATAAGCCCTGCTCCTGTAAAGCAGTGCCTGAACTAACTAAAGCTGTTACCAGTCCTGACCTAATGTAAATCCTACGTAAGTTTCACAGCTTCCCACCTGATTCTATAAGAAATGTCATGAAGTACTCATGTTTAGAAGAAAAAATGCTCCGTCCTCTTTGAAAAAAAATGTTCAGTATACAATTACAAAGGAAAAATAATACAGAAAAAGCATAAAGGTATGATCCTTAATTAGAAGGGGAAACTTGGCATAAAATGACAGATCTGCCTTGTGTTATCACACAAGATTTTGAGAATAAATACTATAATAATGTGATTAAAATTCAGGGGAAAGGTAACAATAGATTTTATCATAAACACAGGGTATAAAGAACTAAATGGCTCAAGCCAGACAAAATCCCAGGATGAATAAAGGCGGCGTCACTGAGTCCCACCCCTAGTAGGGGACCTGTTGACATCTGATAGTTGCTGGGAGAGGGAGAGACAGTCCTCTCTAATGGTGTGATCCCGGTAGGTGGACAGCTCTCCAGTGCAGGCTCCACACCCAAGTTGTGTTTGGGCAGCACAGATGAACTCAGTAGGTTTAGCGAGAGAGGAAAACACTCTGGATGGGTGGGTGGGGAGGCCGTGGGGAATCTGAGAGGAGCTGGGGGAGGAGAGTGAATGGGAAAGAAAGATTTTGTGTGAAACTCTTAGAAAAGTAATGAAAGTATCATTTTAAAAGGACATAACTGAAGTCATTGGAGGCTTACATCAGTTAGTAGAAGAAAGACCCGTAACCTTAAAGGCTGGTCATTAGAAACTGTCCAGATGAGGGCTGGGGTGGTAACTGAAGTCATTGGAGGCTTACGTCAGTAGAAGAAAGATCCGTAACCTTAAAGGCTGGTCATTAGAAACCATCCAGATGAGGGCTGGGGTGGTAACTGAAGTCATTGGAGGCTTACGTCAGTTAGTAGAAGAAAGATCCGTAACCTTAAAGGCTGGTCATTAGAAACCATCCAGATGAGGGCTGGGGTGGTAACTGAAGTCATTGGAGGCTTACGTCAGTAGAAGAAAGATCAGTAACCTTAAAGGCTGGTCATTAGAAACTGTCCGGATGAGGGCTGGGGTGGTAACTGGATGGTACAGCTCTAATCTAGCATGGACAAGGTCCTGGGTGCAGTCCCTGCCAAACAAACACAAAATCAATCAATCAAATAAACAAACAAACCAAAACCCCAGATGATTGTACATCAGTATTTTGCAGCAGTCATGGAGACATGTAGAATTAGTTCTCAGCACAAGCTGGCCCAGTGCAGTGAGAATCCTTTTGCCTGTAGGAATGTAAATATGTCTCCTTCATAATGAAGGACACATTGTATACTTCATTCCTCTTTCTAGAGAAGGGAACCCATGGTGTTTGATGGACTCTTTGGACAGAATTTGGCCAGGTAGCCCAGGCTGACCTCAAATTTGCATCCTTCTGACTCTGCCTTTGTCTTCCATATGCTGGGATTATAGACCGGTAAGCTCAATAGTTGGCTATTTGGGGACTTTAGAAAAATTGGTATGCATTGCTTAAACCCTTTTATGGATTGATCCAAATGCCTCTAGCTTTGACTGGGCGTGGACAGAGAGGGGTCTTTTAGAAGATGACTTACTGCAGTGTTCTTCCACATGGGCCTTATGAAGGAAAACTAAATTGGTTTAGTTTCTCTGACAAATCAGGATTCTGCATAAAACCTGGGTTTTGGAGTAAAACGATGTCCCTTCAGGATATAACTATTCTATAGAATTACAATAGGGCATTTGCAGTAAAAGCAAAAAAAAAAAAAAAAAAACCCAAAAAACAAAAAACCCAAAAAACTCCTTGAATTGGTACCCTAGGAGTCCCTTTGAGTTTTGATCTCTCAGCTTAGTTACATGAGAACTCAATCTCACAGGTAACATGCTTGCCTTGGATGGCCTGTTAGCTAAGGCTCTCCCTGCTACTCACCCAAGTGTCTTCAGCTTTTAGTGAAGATTCAATATATCAATAAATAACAAAAGACAAATACACTCTTGAGAAACTGCCTAACTCAGTAAACTTCAAGGAGACCTTGATTGTTATGAACAAGTATTATTCCCAAATAGCCATTTAAAGATTTTAACTTAGAATATCACTAGCAGCTGAGGAGGTGCGGAGAAGCTGGGTATTTAGGGGGCCAGAGATGCTCCTGGTAGCAGGAACTCAGGAGCACTTCTCCCTGGGGCTGGGGCTGGGGCTGGCTGGTTCCAGTTACTTCTCTGAACTGTACAGAAGAAGGGACTGTTCCCAAAGCCATGTATGCATGAGCGAGGTTGGTGTGTGTTCCTGTTGCTCTGGGCACACACAACAGCCGTGTGCTGTGGGTTTTGAATGAGATCTTATGTATGTACATATGTGTGTATACATGCATGTGCAAGCAGACATTTTAATATAAAATCGGAACCTCTAACAACTGTCTGTCGGTAACACCCTAAAGTCCTGTTCAGTGCTAATGCTAATACTGGCCACGTTAGAGCAGAATACTTGAAAAAATTCTTAGAAGTAGCTCCAGAGGCAGTCATGAGTTCATAGACTTGAATGTATTCTGCTTGTTGAATTATGTAATAATCTAGTTTTGTTCCATATTTTACTCCTTAAGTTGTTTGTTTTCCGGGAAACCATTTTTGATAACTTAATTGTAGAAGTCCTCTGTGGGTCAACTGTATAGCACGGTCTCATTTCAAAGGACAAAGGGTTAATGGAGTTTAAAAGGGCCTAAGATTTGCGAATGTTGGTTTAATGATTGGTAGTTTAAGGAGATAGGTATGGTGTGTTTAGTTTTGGCAAACATGGAGAGATTGTTTGGAGATGTTAAGTCCTGTAGTCCTGTTTCTTCCTCCTCTATGTAGGTAAGGTGTGAGGCCCCAGCTTGGGTTCCATTGGCATAAAAAGGGATTGAAAAATGAGTGGGGGGAGCTAAGGTCTTTCCAGACAGGGCATCGCCAGAGCTTTCACAGGCAGATTGGGGCCTTGAGAAGACTCCTAATGAGCTACACAATGGAGCCTGTTTTACAGCCTCATGGGCACAGGGGACTCTGAGGAGGCATCGAGTGCTCTCCCCAGCCCAAGGGCATGCGCTTCCATCCTGGACAAACAGCAGGTATGAAGGTACTGGCTCCTCAGAGGCTTCTTCAGGTTCCTCAATGCATACAGCACTGGCAGCTGTGATGTTTCATGGGGAGTGGGGGTATTCCTCTGCATGTCACTAAATCCTGCCACTTTGGCCTCCTGAAGAGACCAAGTACTCAGCCTGAGACCCAGCAGGAGTGTGATGATTTCCAGAAGGAGGGGAAGGTCCCCTGGCACATAGGAGATTTCTGGGAATTCTCTGGCTAAATACCTAGCAACCAATGATTGAGAAAAACTACTTTAGTGAGACTCTTTACAATGTTTTATGGATATGTTTCTCTGCATGTATGTCTGTGTACCATGTGTGTGACTGGTGTCCTCAGAGGCCAAAGGGGGCACCAGGTACCCTGGAACTGGAGTTACAGACAGTTGTGAGCCACCGTTTAGGTGTTAGGAATTGAACCTAGGTCCTCTGAAAGAGCAGCCGCTGCTCTTGATCACTGAACTTTCTTTCCAGCCCCTTATTAGGGTTTTTTAAAAATTATTCAACTCTAATTTTGAAAAGGGCCGGTGGAACTTTAGACTTACCACTGAAAATGTAGTTTGACTTTTCCCCAAAGGTGATGGTGTGCCCTCCTTAGTGATCCTCAGTTCTTTCTCCCTTTTGCTATGTTTAAATGCATACAGCACTAATGTGTTATTCTGTGTATGTGCCCGAGACCTTACGGTGATCTCGGCTGCTGCTGTTAGCATCTAGTTTTACTGAAACACTTCACATAGGGTTTTTAAAGTAAGAAATGTACTAAACAGGCACTCTTCTCAGTTTACCTGTGATTTAGATTTCATTCCCAGTGATGAGCTGGCGTATCATCTCTGTGCCAGTGTTGTGCAACTATGTCTCAGATTTATGAATCTATATCTGCAGTCTGGCTTTTGACATGAACTGTGGGGCTTGGGACTTCATTTATTTATTTGTGTGTGGGTATGGGTGTCTTTCCTGAATATGTCTGTGTACCACGTGTGAGCCCAGTGCCTGAGCAGGCCAGAAGAGGGCGTCAGATTCAGTGGAACTGGAGTTACAGATGGCAGTGGTCTCTTGAAGAGCAGCCAGTGCTCTTAACTTCTGAGCCACCTCTCTAGCCTGGCTTTGGACTTGCTGAGCCAAGTTTCTCTGGTTAAATAGACTGTTTTATTAATTTATAATGAAATGGTATTCAGGTACGACTTTACACAGCAACCTGGAAACAACATCACAGTTACACTGATAGAATTTGCTTCATTATCAGTCAGAAAATTCTAGAGCCGGTTTTCACCCAGAATTATACAGAGCCATTGGCCCTTTTATTTTGGTCTTATTAACATAAATACTTAGTACAATTACAAGCATTTTAATGGAGTCCTAGGACTCTGAACTTTTGCTTTCAATACCAAATAGTATCTGAAAAACATGCTCACTTTTGTGTTTTCTGAGAAACTCTAGGAACTGGCCCAGGTTCATGTGATAATCATTCCTTAGTCCATAGTCGCCATGGGCCTCAAGGAGTAATTCTTCAAAAGAATGGAAGAGGCGCAGGTCTTCACCGTTCCCCTCTGTTTCCACGCTCTCGGCGTGCTTGCAAGAAATGTGCTTCCAATTGGGGTATCTGATTGTGTGCCAGAATTCCTCACAGTGATCCTTGAAGCCCTCCACACAGATTATGCCAGGCTTTCCCGTCATGCAAAATCCAGTCACATCTAACCTCTTGCCCACTTCCAGAATCTTTTTCCTGAGGTCCTGCTGATATATGTGGTGGCTGTAGATCCACATCCGGAGGAACGTGTTCTTGACCGGCTTTGCTTGTGTGGACGGCTCACCCGACAGCTTTCTGGTGAGGAAGTAGGATGCGCTGTTGTCCTGCAGCCACTGGATGGCTGCGCAGACACACAGCTCACCCGGATCAAAGGTCCCCAGATAAGCGGTGAGACCTTGGTTGAGAAGAAGCTGCTGTTGTCTGTCAAGGTCAGGTGACCGTCCAAACAGCTGCAAAGCCGCGTAGGGGTAGCTGTGAGGCATGGTCACTTGCAAATCAATTGTCCCCTAAAAATAAAAACCACACAGATTTCAATACCACAGAACTACACGAGCCAGCTTATCACGGCAACAGCACGGTTATGACAGGAAACAATCACGGGGTTATCAAGTGCCAGTTATAAGTTATGCAGTCATTTTTGTTATTTTTCAAATCATTGCTGAACTACATATGCCAGGTGCCCTGTGCTGGAGAAGGAAGGGATAAAGTCAGACATGATTTCTGCCTTAGACTAGAGCCCAGTGAAGGAGACACACGTTAAACAATGACCACACATAGCGAGAATTTAATTTGAATTTGAGAAGCAGTATTGACCATGGGAAAAGTTCAAGGTTCCACTGAAGTGTGTAATCAGGGTATAAAAATCAAGTCTGGGACGCAGTAGCCGGCTCTGAAGCGTGAGCCGGTGAGAGCTAAAACATTAGTTCTCAAGTGTCCAGTCCACGTGACACCTATATACTATATATGCTAATACTCCTGGGGTTAAAGGGATCAGAAGAGGGGGTAAGTTTTTTTTTTATTTTTATTTTTTTTTGTTTTTCGAGACAGGGTTTCTCTGTGGTTTTGGAGCCTGTCCTGGAACTAGCTCTTGTAGACCAGGCTGGCCTCGAACTCACAGAGATCCGCTTGCCTCTGCCTCCCGAGTGCTGGGATTAAAGGCGTGCGCCACCACCGCCCGGCGAGGGGGTGAGTTTATAGTTAACATTTAGATTTTGTATTTGTAGTTACTCTCTACTGTCAGTGCCATCAACACCATCCTAAACACTAACTTCTGAGAAGCCTCTTTGTAGCAGGCAGCATTTAGGTTTGTGAAGATCGTGGTATCTGCAGAAGGCACATTCTAACAGTTAGGTTGGTAAGAAACTCAACGAGGAGAAAGAATAACAAGAAGACTGCAGGATGTTTTCACCGAAAACAGTAGGCACGTTTGTTAAAAAAGCATGTGCATTTATGTAAAATTCAGGATTGTTACTTAAGAGAACTTAAGGAGCACCTCGAGTTTGGTACCTTTTCCTTCCTTCCAAACAAGTAATGGGATATGTATTTGATTCTTGGACAGGAAGCTCATGCACTGGGTTTTTCAGTTAAAAAGTGGACACTTGGGGATGGAGACGGCGCAGCACTGGCTGCTCTTCTAGAGGGCCCAGGTTGGAGTCCAAATACCCACGTGATGTCTCGCAAACTTCTGTGACTCCAGGACCACCCTCCTTTGGCTTCTGAGGGTACTGCACAAGGTTGCATGCTCAAGGCTAAACACCCATGCCATACACATTAAAAACACACTAAAACAATGGGCACCCAGAAACACGTAGAAAAAAATAAAAGCACCCACCTTGGGCTCCTCAATTTGAAGCGTGATCACAAATTCGATGTTGTGTGGGAGCGCCTCCCTAGTGCCTTCCAGATACCTCTTTATGTTCGTTAGGGCGTTTACGTCTTCCAGTTTTACTTCTCCTTGGTTTGGAAACATAGACAACAGCATTTCCATCTCCAGCAGCTGAAGCTGAAGGCTTTCTTTTACCGACGCGGACATGTCTCCAAATCAACCTGCTTGGCAACCTGGAAAGGCCCAGAAACAGTGGGTTTGTTAATGACACCTGGTGTCCGGAAAAATTTCCCAAGGTCCCCTTTCTAGAAGGCCATTCCTGTTTGCGGAGAGCTAGGGGCACGCACCCAGACACTTAAACTGTTTAGATTTCTCTCCTGAGCCCCAAATCTAGTATGCACAACACATCCTGTTAAAATGCTCCGTCAACACCTAGATTCCTAGTCTCTCTTCCCCACCCTTGCCGGTCATTTTGGAGTCCGCGCTTTCAACAGGTGATTGGGTGATATGTTTCGCGGCAGGTGGTTGCAAACACCTGCATACTCCAGGCCAGCCCCAAACCTGAGGAAAGCAGGGGCCGGCCCAGGAATCCCGCTCGGATCTCAGGCCTACGCAGAGCTGGAGGCGGCGAGATGTTCGCAGAGCGTAGAGAGAGAGAAGGGGCCCCGGGTTGTCCCCGCCGCCCGCCCTCATCTGCAGACCCTTGGAGGACAGCCCACCCGGACTGCAGTGGCGTGCAGCATTCGCGCAGGTGCATAGGGCCTCCTCGGCCTAGCCACGGAGCTGGGGGAGGGGTCTCAGCCATTTAATAAATGACGTCTAGGGTCGAGGGGGTGAGGACCCACAGGGATGGCGGTACCGTCGCCTTTCAGGGGCTGGGCTGGGAGGTGACCTCGGTGGTCGGAGGGACAGCAGTGCTCCCCACCCTCCGGGGACCCCTGCCCCCCGAGGCCTAGGCTGGGAGGCGCAGTTGCCCACCCCGGGTGCTAACCCTCGGCCCGACTCGGCCACCGCGGCCTCACCCTTCCAGCTCACTCAAGACAAGCAGCCCCTGAACCCGCTCCGAACCGCAGCCGCAGTTCCGCGGGCGCGAGCAGCGCGCGGACGGCTGGGGGCGGGGCCTGGGGTCTGGGGGCGGGGCCAGGGTATCCAACCCGCCGCGATTGGCTGTGGCGGAGCCTCAGCAGGGGCGGGGACATCAGACCCTCTCCACCGCGATTGGCCGGAGGGCGGGGCGTTGGGCCGGAAGCCAGGCTGGGCCACGTCTTCAGGGTCTGAGTAAACTGGTTTGGTTCGCACTGCGCTGCGGCTGCTCGAATGCGGAGAGGACGTTTCTGCTCCGGTACTAGGTGAGCGGGCTTGGAGGCTGTGGGGCCGCTGTGGGTGGGGGTTCCTGGACAGCCTTGGCTGGGGGTGATCGCCGGACACACCTACCCACCGCTCAGTGCGGCCCAGGTCCCTGCCGACTTCACGCTGGAGGGCGGGGAGCCGCGGGTAATCGGGAGCTGGGAGCAGAGTGTACTACCGAGTATAGCAGGATGAATGAAAGAAGCGGGCTTCGCTGTTCGCTCTTATAGCTTGGACACTGTTGGGACTTTCTTTTTCTTTCTTTCTTTCTTTTTTTTTTTTTTGATTTTCGAGACAGGGTTTCTCCGTAGCTTTTGGTTCCTGTCCTGGAACTAGCTCTTGTAGACCAGGCTGACCTTGAACTCCCAGAGATGCTCCTGCCTCTGCCTCCCGAGTGCTGGGATTAAAGGCGTGCACCACCACCGCCCGTCCTTGTTGGGACTTTTAATAACCATTCCCATACCTATTGAAATTAGTTCTAGAACTCCAAACGCATTAAAGGGTGGAAGCGTGCTGTTATATGACTGTTATTTTCCTTTGAGAGAGTTCTGGATTTCATAAGAGTGGTTGACACCCTTATGAATAATCGCGATACTTTCATACTGGTCAACTTTTACAAAAATATACTCGTTCTTGTTAACAAAAGTTTGATTACTTTGGAACGAACTAAATTAGCTTGGGAAGGACCGATTTTACAAGTCATATAGAAGCAAACATTTTTCGGCATTTCTTGTGGCGTTGTGCATTGAAACAAGGAAGGGCAATAAAGCAAGGAGGTGTGGTTGTTAGCTGAAGGACAGCTACTCTGGGCTACCTAGGATAGAATTGACCCAGGAAGTGCACAGTCTACGAATCTTCATGCACCCTGCTTGCTGAGGCAGAAAACCTCAAATTAATTGGAGGTGTCTCAGAGTATTAGGGGGAACAGGGCCCACGCTTGGGCAGCATTGTGCAGATGTGAGTAGCTTTAGACATAAATTTAGAAGATTGCTGCGTCTGTCTTTATGAATAAATTGGAGAGTCGTCTTGGAGATGTCCTGGCTGATCTTGGAGGTCTTAGACAAGAGGAAATGGTTGCACTTTGCTTTTCCTCTGAGATGGTTTCTCTCTAGTTTGGGAGGAATAGTGAGCAAACCACGTGGATTTCCCAGGCATTTGGAGGTACTCAGCCCTTTGTGGATCTGACCTTCTGCCTTGGACTTTCACTGGCCTCACACCAGACTTTAGATTATTAACTGGGGCCCACACCTTAAGTTGCTCCTTCCTCAGCATTCAAACAATTCAAAGAGAGCATAATAACATACAGTATCAAGATTCTCTGTGGCCGGGTGGTGGTGGCGCACGCCTTTAATCCCAGGCAGAGGTAGGCAGATCTCTGGGAGTTCGAGGCCATCCTGGTCTACCAGAGCTAGTTCTGGGACAGGCACCAAAGCTACAGAGAAACCCTGTCTCAAAAAAAACCAAAAAAAAAAAAAATTCTCTGTGTGTTTTCCATCTTTAAGTGACTTTATTTTAACCTCTATTTCTTTTATTTTTACTTTTACTTTTTGAGACAGGTTCTCTGTATATCTTTGTCCTAGAATAATTCTGTAAACCAGGCTGTCCTTGAACTCAGAGATCCTTCTGTCTCTGCCTCCCAGGCATTGGGATTAAAGGTGTGTACTACCACACCCAACTACTCTTTCTTTTTTATTTTTAAGGACTTTAACCTTTAGCCTGCATATATTTTTAACATATATTTTTATTATATATTTAATAAGTTATAAAACTGATTGACCCATTAGCTCAGGCTTCTTATTAGCTCTTATCACTTATATTAATCCATTTTTATCTATGTTAGCCATGTGACTCAGTACCTTTCACAGCGGGCAGGTCACATGTTGCTTCTTTGGAGTCTGGGCAGGACCGGGAGGAATGGGCTTCCTCCTTTCCAGCATTCTCCTGTTCTCCTCGCCCCACCTCTACTTCCTGTCTGGTTGACCTGCCTATACTTCCTGCCTGGCCAAGCAGCATTTTATTAAAATACATGATTGACAGAATACAGACAATTCTCCCGCACCATCCTCCCTCCCCCCTCCTTACCCCAACATGTTTCTTTGGAGAGGGTCCCAGTGAAACAGGCGTGTTACATTGTGCTGGCAGTTTGGAAGCAAATGGTCCTTGAAAGCTTTTTGTTGATAATAATGTTTCTTACTTTTGCAGACATGGATCTAGAGGCTGTTTCTAAACGCTCTGCATTCCATGCCAAGCCCCAGGGGCTCATTCTCCAGTATGGGACTGCTGGGTTTCGGACAAATGCCCAGCATCTTGACCATATCATGTTTCGAATGGGATTACTAGCTGTCCTGAGGTCAAAGCAGACAAAATCCACCATTGGAGTCATGGTTACAGCCTCCCACAATCCCGAGGTAACAAGCTGGTGTAATGTGTCTGAGCACTTTGCTAATGCTGGGAGTGTGCCTCCTAATTTGTATGGTCCTTTGGGTTTGAAGCCACTCTCTCCTAGCAGCCATCCAGCTGCATTGGGTGTGGAGGGAATGAAATGAGGCTATTTTTTTGGAAAGTGTCCAGAGTAGAGAAGTAACAGAATGTCCTTCCAAGTTTGGATGGAGACATTATCAGTCATGATAGTATCACAAGGAACTGAAGAAAGAGGTAATGCAAGGGAAACGTAAGAGCCTGCTCGTTTGTCCGCGGCTGAGGAACTCAGCCCCGAAATACCACATAGAAACTGTATTAATTAAATCACTGCTTGGCCCATTAGCTCTAGCTTCTTATTGGCAAACTCTTACATCTTAATTTAACCCATCTCCATTAATCTGTGCAACACCACAAGGTTGTGGCCTGTCAGCAAAGGTTCAGCATGTCTGTCTCTGGTGGAGGATCCATGGTGTCTCCTGACTCAGCCTTCTTTCTCCCAGAATTTTGTTTAGTTTTCCCCACCTAGCTAAATTCTGCCCTGCTCTAGGTCTAAAGCAGTTTATTTATTCATTAATGGTAATCACAGCATACAGAGGGGAATCCCACCTTACCTCCCCTTTCCTGTTTAAATAAAAAGGAAGGTTTTAACTTTAACAAAAAAATTTACACATAACAAAACAGTTATCAGAGCAAGAATTACAGTTACAATATTTATATCTACTTTCTATTTATTCTTCAACTCCATCAAAGACTCCAGAAGGATATATTACCTAAGTAAAGAGGAGGTGCATTATAAGCAACTTCCAAAGCTCTAGAATTGGCAGAGACATCTTGCTGCCTGGACAGTCACCCAAAGTTCTTCTATACTGTTGGAGCATCCATCTTCAGCCTACAGGCTTGTAGTATTCAGCAGACTTTTCCATGAAGCAGGAAATTTGAAGATCTGTTCTGCCTTGTAATGGCAAAGTTCATCAGTTACTTTTTTCTGTGTTCTGTAGAATGTCTGCTGGACTCTTTTTTTTTTTTTTTTTTTTTTTTTGGTTTTTCGAGACAAGGTTTCTCTGTGGTTTTGGAGCCTGTCCTGGAACTATCTCCTGTAGACCAGGCTGGTCTCGAACTCACAGAGATCTGCCTGCCTCTGCCTCCCAAGTGCTGGGATTAAAGGCGTGCGCCACCACCGCCTGGCCAGGACTCTTATGTAACAGGAACCCTGAAGGACCATCTCACCTTTGGGCAAGTTCAGCAGTCATTTCTCTGTGGGTCCTGCATGTCCAGTTCATACAGCATACCATCAAGAAGTCCAGGCAAGAGCAGTTTCTTGCCCAAATGGCTAGCAAACTCCATAAGGAGCCTCTTTGATACCCATCATCCTCTTGAAGTAGACTGGTGCTGCCAGGAGCAGATGTGTCTCATTGTCATGAAAAGTCCAAGCTCTTAAAACATTTTAAATGCCATATTCTGAAGGTCTCTGAAAGATTTGACTAAAATATATCTGTATATATCTAAAAACCTAACTAACATGACTACAAGCTTGACTATTATAGATGATTATCTATTAGCCTATATTTCTTAATTATACATTGCATTTTTAAATAAACTGCACAATCACAATACCTTAAGAGCAGAAATATATATCAGTAGACCAAGATCATACCAATGCAAATTATTCATTTCTATATCATATCCTACTTTAAATGTAAACAAACATTTATAAACAATTTTTGGGGGTGTGCGGGGCAACCTTTTGGGAGGGTCTTGGTTCATCAAAACACATTAGTCTGGAATTAATCCACAGGTTCTCATTTTCTGTGGAAACAAAAGAAGAACCTCTTTTCCAAAGCAACAAATTCCTAGACCCATATTTTGGAATCAAGATACCTTTAAAGTGTATATGTTGGCTTGGCTTAGCAGTATCAGATGCCTCTCTGCAGTCAAAAAATTCAAAGAAAACACAATAGTTTACATAATTCAGACTCTCTGTGTATATACTATCTTTACATGGCTTATTCTTTATTTCTTTTAATCTTTGACTGTCTGTACTCTGTCTCTTTAAAGACTTTACTTTTTTTTTGAACCATTTACTTATTTTTTTAACTGTCTATATACTTCTCTTTCCTAAGCCTACATATTTATCCAACAGTGTGACTCATTTCTATCTGAATTTGTCTTTATTGTGTATTTATAATTATTTTCTGACCAGGACTGCTTCTTAAAAACTAAGCTGTGGCATTGCTAGAGCAAATATGGATGGCACTCCCTGCTTGCTGCCCAGTCCAGCATTGTGGAACTGTTTCCTGCCTCTGAGAGCCATGTACATTACCCCATTTTCAGGCTCACAGCCAG